ATGATGTTGCTTCTTGGTCCAGTTGTGAGGATTTTTGTTTTCTTTATGTTGAGGTGTAATCCATACTGAAGGCTGTGGTCTTTAATCTTCATCAGTAAGTGCTTCCAGTCCTCTTCACTTTCAGCAGCAAGGTTGTGTTACCTGCATAATGCAGTTTGTTAATGAGTCTTCTTCCAATTCTGATTCCCCATTCTTCTTCTTATAGTCCAGCTTCTCGGATTATTTGCTCAGCTTCCTGCATATACATATATCTATTTTTTTTTACTTGGAATCCTTGGGTGGTTCAAATGGTTAAGTGCCTGACTAATAACAGAAAGTTTGGTGGTTCAAACCCACCCAGAGTTACCTTGGAAGAAAGGCCTGACAATCTGCTTCCAAAAGGTCACAGCCTTGAAAACCCTACGGAGCACAGTTTTATTCTGTAACACATGGGGTCGTTATGAGTCTGAATCGACTCAATGACAACCGGTTTGATTTTGTTTTTTGTTTTTTTACATAAATAGAATAATCTGTATTTGTTGTTCTGTATACTTCCTTGTTCTTTAAATGTTTTTTGAAAAAGTAATACATGCACATTATAAAAATTTCAAACAATATAAAAGAATACATACAATGTGAAGTATGTCACCTTCCTATGCTTGACCCCCCAGGCAACCAGTATTATCAGTTTCTTAGAGTCTGTGTGCATATACAAGCAGACAGGGACAGATCCTCCACCCTTTTTCACACAAGTAGTAGCAAACCATACACAGTTTTGCACCTTGTTTTTGTCATTTAACAATATTTCATATATCTTATAAATACATATATGTATATAAATATATGCATGTATACATGGAGCCCTGGTGGCACAGTGGTTAAGAGATTGGCTTCTAACCAAAACGATCAGCAGTTCAAATCCATCAGCAGCTCCTTGGAAACCCTAGGGGGCAATTCTAATCTGTCCTATAGTGTCACTGTGAGTTGGAATTGACTCAAGGGCAACAGTTTTTTTTTTAAAATAAATCAAAATCAATTCCAGGACAATGGGGTTTTTATTATTATTACTAGTTTTGGAATCTTTACGGGAGTAAATCACCAGTTCTTTTCTCCTGCGGACTGGCTGGATAGGTTCACACTGACAACCTTTCAGTTAGCAACAGAGAGCTTAACTGTTGCGCCAACGGGGCTCTATATATGATGAAAGAAAAAAGTATGTTTATATTATTACATATATATTGTAATGGCAACTGGTTTGGTTTTGTGCTTTTGTCTTTTTCAGAAACTACGTAATTTATTTATCCACACCTTGTTAGGCTGAATCAGTTGACTTCTGACTTACTTTTACTTCTCTTAAGGCTAGACTTTCATCAGGAGAGCTGGTTATGATTTTACCCATTGTGATTTTCCTCTCGGTTTCCACCTTAGTGTTCTCTAGAACATTGTTTAACAGGGGTGTTGGCTGATTACTATTGGTCCCTGACGGGATACACCCAGAGCTACCTTAACTTCTCTGGACTTATTCCCGTGTACAGTAATGGGAGGTCTATGTGTGTGGGGGGTGTTTCCTCCCATTTTCTCTCCCCCCCTTCTTTTGCTTCTTTTTTTTTTTTTACCATGTTAGAAAGAGTCTCCTCTGTGATCTTTTCTTCCTTCCCTCTCCTATCGATTCAGTGAGTGGGGGCAGCGTCACTGAACCAATGACAGGTCATCGGAGAATCTAACTGCAGACCAATGGGGTACTCCTAGGTTCCAGATGGACCAATCAGCTTATTAGGGACATCAAATACCTGGATAGGTGGCATCTGCCCCATTGTCCTCTGACTAAGACCCTCTTGTGTTGATGGTCAGGGATTTGAAGGTGCAAAAGAAACCCTATTTTTTTTTTTCTCTTTTTCCTTTGGTGGCTTTAATCCATCTCCACAACTTCTGCCCGAAGCCAATAAAACACAGCCATTCTCCCTTTGTAAAAAGAAAGAGGGGTTGGGTTTCCTTCAATTGTCTGCCCCTTTCTGTCTCCTCCACTATTTTTGTTTTACGTACTTTGTAGTTAACTTTACATAGAGCAGCTTCATCTGAGGACCTGTGCGGTGGACCCCAGACACTTTCTTCTCATTGCCCATTGCAACAGGCTTTTTGTTGTTCTAACCTGGGGGTGCTTGTGGGGCGGGGCGGGGGAGAGGAGTGGTGGTGGCGGGTGGGAGAAGAGTTTGGTTATAGTCTTCCTTTCGCATTCCTCACACATTCTGCTCTCTCTCTCTCTCACACACACACACACACACGCGCGCACGCATACACACACACACACACACACACGCATACACACACACGCCCGCTCGGGCCCCTCTCGGTGTGTCTTCCTTCAAGATGACAGGGCGCTGGAGAAAAGGCCGCTGGAATCAGCTGGTAGGTACAGTAGTAACCCGAACCCCACCCACCCGCTGCCTTTGCTCGCTCAGGTTTCTCCGGTCACTCCAGCCAGTGGAGAAAACATGTAAACGTGCCTGCAGAGGAGGGGCTGGGGGAGCCAGGAGCGGCGGGGGCGGCGGAAGGTGAGGCCGGGAAGGTGGCCGAGCGCCCCTCCTGCCCGGGCCCTGCCTAGTCCTCCCTCGGGGCGTCAGCCCCAGCCCTGTTTGCCCCCACCCACCCCCCTTTTCGAAGGGATTGCCTTTCTCTCTCTGCGGCGGCGGAAATGACAGTGTGGTGCTGCCGTGGTGTCGTGGTGCTGCTCCTGGACTGAGGGTCGAAAACTCTTTAAGTTTGGCTTGAGAGATTCAGCCGAGGCAACGTTTCGGCCGCCGTGCTGTCCCTGGCGGGGAGCGCAGGCGGGCGGATCCCGGCTGCTGCGCGGCGGCGGCGGCCAAGGC